TCGAGATTGATGTGTAGGTAGGTTATTAAAAGGACAAAACAAACATTAATTGTGAGGAAGGTCCTCACTTACATGTACTTACTAACCTGACAAACTGAAGATGAAGAAGTTTTAAGCCGCCGTCGTGTCGTGTGGATTTCCAAAATCATTATTGTAAGCCGGCAGATTGCGACCATTGTGAAAAGGATTTGCTGGACAACTAAATCAAGTCAAGTTACCTGTATGTTCGGATCCGAACTCGTTGGATTGTATAGTTATATATACCTCCGTGCCAAATTATATGTCCGCAACCGTCCAACCGGGAAGATGACGGCGGTACATTAGCGAGAGGGGCTGGTGATGTGTACGCGTAGTACTTGCAGGCGAAAGTTATAGCATCATTTGCTTTGTAATAATCCACAATCTCCCTACGCCGCATCAGATTCCCGTCTACCTACTCGCACAAACAATACAGTTCCACCACGGGCCTTGCATTATACAATACACTTTGCAAGGGAGGGAGGGATAGGTAATCCGAATAAAGGTAGGTTCCAAGTGCCCGAGCAACGCCTACCTTAAATCCGTGGTGGATTCATCCCTCTAACCTAGATACTTCGCCCCGCACACCACTACCAATCAGGTAACGAGAAATGTTCGGAAGCGAGGACGGAGATGCGGGTAAAAAAAAACGCATAACAAAGCGAAACTCAAATACCGGGCCACCGGTCCCTTCCACTACTCAAGTGACGTGGAACTAAGTCAGACCCGAATACGCTGAATAAATAGACTTGAATTCCAAGCTCGCAGCACAGCCACTTGGGCAGGCACCGATGCATACCGGCATTTTAAACAACGGAGTAATGAATAAGCTGCATTGTAACTTGCAAGCAGCTGGTAGTTTCGAGATACCTCTCGTACGATCGCTTTGCCGCATCTCTTCCAAATCATGTTAAAGGGAACAAATGATGTCCTGTAGGAAGTGAGGTACGTCGCTTAGATAAATATATATAGCAATATATTAGCTCGTCGTTCGCATCTCATTCTTAGTTTTAATTATTATTCTCTTTCAATATTTTCTATCTTGTCGTATATACCATCCAGTTTGCAGAATACTATAATCTTAATATCCCCATTCGTAAGAACAACAACAGCACACTCCTCCCACCTATCCTGACAAGACACACACACAAACACACACCACAAAAAATGCCATTCACACACGAACCCAGCAACCTAGTCAAACTCTGGTTCGCGATATCCCTCCCCCTCATAGCATGGGACTCCATATACGCGCTCTTCCGCCCATGGACAATGGAAGGCGGCTTCCTGCACTGGCCCCTCTGGGCCCCTTACAAGCTCTACGGCGAAATCGACCACGTGTACGGGTGGAAAGCATATAACGCCGGGTCGGGCTTCACCTCGGCACAGAGTTTCATGAACGTCGTCGAATCCGTCATGTATCTGTACTATTACTGGGCGTGGTATACGGGCGGCGTCGACGTCAACGTCAAGGTAAAGGGAAACGAGAGTAGGAAGGTGCTTGTTGGGGGAAAGGCCGGTGCGGCGGTTTTGGTCGCTTTTAGTGCGGCTATTATGACTGTTAGCAAGACTGTGCTTTATTGTGAGTTTTTTTTCTTTTTTTTTTTCTCTCTTCACTTTTTCCCTCTTTCGCGTGTGGGAAAGATGATTGTTGGCTAATTATGTGCGAAAAGGGCTTTGCGAATGGTTCTCGGGTTTCGAGAATATTGGTCATAATAACTTTTGGGATCTGCTTATTTTCTGGATCATCCCTAAGTAAGTCTAACCTATGAGTTTGTAGTTTGCCAAAAATGTCATGTCATGATGGAAAGGAGTGTGCTAACCAACCCCTTACTGCAGTGGTGCTTGGCTCATTTTCCCTGCCATCATGTGCTATGAGTTTGGCAGCACATTAGTCGAGGGTCTTGAGGGTGATGCTCCTGCTAAGCTGGAGTGAACAACGACAATTAAAAATATTATTGGAGCGAGGGGTGAAGTGAGCATGATAGAGGGTGTAGCTCGAAATTTGACGGGACTTGGTGGTCGACCGGTGTGTCTGCTACACACACACACGCCTTGTATACCGGGCAAGCTTGTTGGGGGGTAACTATATGGGCATGATTACCATCTAATAAGGATGCATTAATATGGAGGGAATCAAACTGGGATTAGAATAGACTAATGAATTAGACATACTTATACGAACAGTCTTCTTTATGTCGGCAGCTAATAGCATATTATTATTACATAGGTACGTTCCTTGTCTATTTAGTTCTTGCTAATCTCTTTTCTTCGGGCTCTCCGCTAAACAAGGTAGAGAAGCGCATCAACTCCCTTCTTTCCCCGTCCCCTTAACCTTCTCCACCATGGAAACCGGCCCCCGACCTGTCAAACCATTGATATTCAGCCAATGCAGCCCCAACGCCGTGATGAGTACCATCAGAAAACACCGCTCGCCCAGCTTCATGAACCGTTCGTCGCCAGTGAGTGTCAGATCGTAAGGATGCTTCGGGCTGTCGAAGAAGCTATTCCACGAGAAAACGGCGACTACCGGTATCTTTGAGTAATCATCACCAGTGCTCGGCCCACCATTATCATAATCATCATCATGATTCTCAGCAGACATCCACAACAATTTAAAGCCACCATGCGGCGTACTCTCATCCCTCTCCGACTTCATCACCTTCCTCCACTCGAAACGTTCGCGACGCCCACCCCCAACATCGACGCTGAAACAGAAGTGGATATTATTATCGGGCTTGGGCGTAGTGCGCGCGCGCATCCTCTCGGTATCCCACTTTTTCTGCCCGTCGGTGCTGGGCAGATAGATGATGTTGTCCCTCGAGAAAGTCAAGCCGCAGAGTACGGTATCTTGGCCGATTGCGGCGATCACGGGCGTGTCTTTGTGGCTCGGCCCGTTGAGTAAGTACATGCCCGGCTTCATCCCTAGGGGTCCGGAAAAGCTGTGGCCGGTGTGCACGTCGACGGTGAATATTCGCTCGCGCTCATTTGTTCCGCAGACGCTGGGAGAGAAGGCGTGTTAGTTGTTATTGGTGGTTTCTCCCTCTCTTGTGTAACAACAAGCTTGGGGGGGATCCGGGACGTGAGTCGGGTAGGCATACTGGTAATACTTGAGGCCAGCCAAGTTCCATTGATAGTACATTTTCATGACTGTGGGAATAGGATGGTAAAGGACCGATGGTGGCTTTTCCATGGTGAAAGTGTCTGTTTCCGACTTCTGTCGTTCACGCGGATCAACAGAAGCATAGTGACGATCGTTGTAGGCCATAACTTCTGCCTTTTCTGTATAGTCCATTGCTCCAGGTTTGAATGTGTTTATTGGTAGGTTAGGTCTTGGAAAAGGGAGCTCAAAGTAATTAGGGAGTGAGTCTTGAGATGGTAGTTCAATATCGAAGCGCCTGGTGAGCTCAAAATCGTACAACGGAAGTCTTCTTGACTTATATATTGCCCTCAGATGATCGCCTTGGTAGTCAGTCGGGAGTTAGTAGACCACAATCGTGAGGCGCAGGCCACAATCCCGTTCTTTATAATTTCTTGGTAGATACCCACGTGCCCAACCCAACCTTGTTGAAATAACGAACTACATTTTGGGGTCAATGTCATTGGCGGCAGCAAGTGTGTGTGGCACTGCAAACAAGCCTTCATTTTGTCACTCGGCAATGTTGCGTTGCGAAGCTTTCTTCAACGACTCTAGTCGGAATCTGGAAAGTAGGTGTACCTAAGTAGTCAGTCTCTTTCCGGAGAAGATTGAACATGGGCCATCTCCTGTACCCTGAGCCGAAATGAGCCTATCGAGACCACCACCACGCAGTTACATTTCGTTGGGATTGAAGCTTTCTGGTGAGCATTACCAGTGACGGCATGACCAGGGGATCATGCCAAGCCAAATCCTTCCTCCAACCAACAGCTAAGCCGCAGATGAGTACAAGCTACTTCCAATTACCTAGATAGGATAGGCGCTGGTTTCTTTTGGAGCCACATTTCGAGAATGTTCATAGCTCCAGTCGATCTTGTCTGGAAAATCATGATTATACTCGTAGAGTGGCTTATACCAGAGATGTCGGCTCTATTTTCTTTGAGATTTATTGATTTATTGACAGCGGTGTGAAGTCGTACCTTGAACCTTTTAGACCGGAACTGCGTATAATATCTATCCTCCGTAGTTTTGTCGTCTACGATACTAGATTGGACACTGATATCGTGGAAGATCGGGATTACTAGCAGTATATGGTCTATGCCGTGATTGTTGCCGCTCGCTCGGCAGTCTGGTCGCTCTTGAGGTTCGGTTCGTTGTTGAACCAGTCTCTTCTGCGTGTCAAGGTAGGTAAGTGGTGGTGGACAAGACCTTTATGTACAATAAGCGTAGAGGTACCAGACGAGCCAAGCGGATATTATCAACATATGCGTCGGGGAAATAAATCATTTGCTAGGAATATGTTAGCAATTGTACGAGAGTCTGCCTGCTACACAGGAACACAGACTGTGGGATATTGTACTCGTAAGCTGTTTACTCCATTTCTGTCACGAGCAGACTACCTAGTGTAGGGTAAGAAGCCCGGCAAAGGGGTCCCCGAAGACCCTGCTCTTTGCATTCCTTTTTGATGTCGTCTCATTCTCCCTGAGTGAGGGTATGTAGGGGTACAATTTGAAACCACGAATAATCATATTGAGTCTGCCTTTAAACAAACACGACTAAAATTAGTATCCGGGCTTATTAATAAAGAGTTACATGGTGATCTATCATTCTCCAAAAGTTCCCGAGCGGCGGTCCACAGGATTCTGCGGGGGTGGAAAGCCGGTTTTGTCGTGTCGTAGCCCACCACAAATCCTCCACCAGCCATTGCTGGTCTCAAGTTATATCTTTACTCACAAGGAGCGAGAAAAAGACGAAAAAGGGATCAACATCTCTAATCAAACAGCCGCGGCCGCTCTTTGCATCTAGTATTTAAAGGACAGAGAGAAAAGCAAAAAAAGAAAATCAATGGACGAACGGGGAATTGAACCCCGGACCCCTCCCAAGCTAGCTCTGATATCCAGAGATGCGAAGGGAGTATCATACCCCTAGACCATTCGCCCTGATTTCTGGTGTTGGGCATTTATTACGTATACTTCACTGTATTGCCAAAGGGTCAAACTGAAGTCGGCAGAGACACCGGGAGAGACGACGCGGGTGAGGTGCGCTAGATCTCCCACTTATCGTACAGGGCCAGCTTGTTCCCTTTGAACTCGATCACGAGTCCATTACTAGATAATGTATGGGTTAAGCCTTGAGCCTTGGCTATCCTCGCAACAAGCAAGGCACACACGATGCGATAGCAGTGCATATCCACTCTCTGAATGGCTAAATCTTTGTTGTCTTCCAGATTGTAGATTGTCATTATCCTTGGCTATTTTAGCAACTACCTAGTAAACATCCCCTGAGAAGACCGATCAGCTAAAGTATCTAACCTAACGTTATATCATGGCTCATGTAGTCGCAATCCCAACGAGGTCGCCGTCCGCGGAAAATCCGTGCCTTTATAGATCTGACCGTCTTTCATAACGAACGGTACTCGTCTTAGCGCCCCGATGTCTCGGACCAAATCCCCTTCAAGAGCGACAATATCAGCAGTAAATCCTTGCTCCAGACATCCAAACCTCTGACCACAGAGATCAGCCCCGCATGATTCCCAACCGTGAAGTGTCGCAGCCTGCAGGACATCAGGAAGTGGAACCCCGGCCTCAAGCATCAGCTCGAGTTCGCGTACGTTCTCGCCATGCGGGAAAGCCCCCGTGTCGCCGCCACATGCAAGCTTAATGCCTTTGTCATATGCCGCTTTTGTATGCGAAAGAACTTGCTGGAACGCCCGCTCGCCGTCACTTCCTTTTCGCATGGTCTGCTCGAACACGGAGAGGGTAGGGACGAAGATTGTTCCGTTGTCCTTCATGACACTTAGTGCTTCGTCGCTGGGCACGCACCCGTGCTCTATCGATGTCACGCCTGCTTTCGCAGCCATAATAACTGCTTCGGGAAGGACAGCATGGGCGGCAATAGCCACCCTACCCAGTCTAGCTTCCGCCACCATTGCGTCCATCTCCTCTTGACTGAACAGTAGGAAGTTGGCCCCGACATCGGTAGGTGGAAACCTGATGGGCATTGCGCCAGGCCAGGCTTGCGGCGGGTAGCGTAGCTGTCGTTTTCTATAGTCGGCGTAGAACTTGACAACGTCGGCCCCGGCACCCAGACGGCGACGCACTGCTGCGCGAACACCATACACGCCGTCTGCTGGGTCGGATATCCGGGGCGCTGATGATGCCGCGTTTTCGAGCCTGACCTCGTATCCGCTGCTGGAGGCAATGCACTCCGTCGCGACAAACATGCGCGGACCGGGTGTGATGCCGCGATTGATGGTGTCTCTGAACCTGGCATCGGCGTCGCCGAGACCCTCGGTGCCCAAGTCGCGATATGTCGTGTACCCGGCCATCAAAGCGTCTCGAGCATGGTTGGTGGCCCGCACGATCCTCTCCACGAAGCTCTCGTCGCGCATCTGGTTCATAGATGGCGTCTCGGTGTATGAATGGAGGAAAATGTGGGTATGGGCATCGACGAGACCGGGGAGAACGGTTAGGCCTCGAAGGTCTACCGTTTGGGCATCTGTCACGTCATGGTTTGGCAATGGGTTGATACGCTCATATGTCCTATCAATGAGTCCTGTAGTTGTATTTACGTCGATTGAAATGTCAGATAGGAAGCATTTGTTCTTGGAGTCGAAAAGACAGGAGGTATGGATGGTTAGAATATGGTTCGACGAATCTTGATCGGTTTCCATGCGCATATTGACCTACTAAGCCTTGGTGGTGCCTTGAGAGTCTCGGTGACTCCAGGACAATGCTCAAATCTCGAATCGTAGGTCACATGGTTGCATACGGCATCGCTGTTACATTGAACTGGGAGTACATGAAGAGTATAAGCGATGCCTCCGATAAGTACGGGGATATGTACCTATGTATCTCGGTGGGGAGTACATACCTACATGTAGGTACTACCGCATTACCCCATCTTCTACATGTGGTAGGTATCCTGCAGTAGACACGGGGACATGTACGAGGGTAACCATCCATGACCTGGCGCAGCAACCTCCGAATACATGGGAGTATTCGTTGTCTTCTGCTTGTCGCGTCCTTCATTTATCATCATCCAGGTTCAACACGCCGTTGCGGCTTACTGCGTTTGATTCGTTTGAAATTTAAAGCTTGGCGTCGTCTTAGGCCACTTCCGTGCGTCAGTGGCAGCTCCGAGCAGGTTGTCAAATTGTAATATAATCTAGGCAGCCCAACTCCTGATAACGTGTTCAGAGAGGAACCTATTGGACTACGAGCACAGATATCGGTCAGGAATCAGACACCCCTGGCGATATGTATTTAGTTCAAGTAGGACCTTAGGCGATTATGGCAGGTACTGCTTAGCACCATCCAAAACCGTATCGCGCCTAGGTTCTAGTGAACACACACGACGCTAGAGACTGAACAATACCCCAAATGAACGAAAACATGGCAGAGGTTGGACAAGAATTATCAAATAATCTTCGCAATTCCTTTTTAGTTATCCATCGTCTAAGCTAATTTTTAGATAAAGTTAACCCTCCCAAAGAAGGGCGTCATGTGAAAGTTGGACTGGTTCGTCGGACTCCAGGCGCCAAGGCCCTGGTCAGGGAAAGTATCGGGCGACACGATGGTGCGGAAAAAGTTCATCCTCCACTTCGTACCCTTGGCCTCGCCGTTCTCGACGTTGAAGAGTCCGAGTGGGATCTTGGCGTCCGTGACCCAGCTTCCCGCGTCTTTGTCCAGCGTGGTGCTGGTGACGAGTCCGTCCTCGATGGGCGTGCCAAGCAGGGCTCCGTTGTCGAAGGGCGCTCCCTCGGCCCGCACCTTGCTGGGGTTGTAGATGAAGGCTTGGAAGGTGACGTTGTTGGGGCTCACCTCGAACTCGAGATAGCTCGTCGGGTCGTTGGTGCCCTGGTAGATGAAAGCCTCCATCACTTCGTACTCGTACAGAGGGTCGTTTGTCTTGTGGCTCTCGTTGTAGAAGAAGTTGACTTCCTCTAGCGCGCTGAATGTGATCTGGATATCGCTATCGGTGTAGCAGAGGTCGACTTTGGTGAGCGGGAACTCTTCCTCGCCATTCGGCACCGACCTGTCGTATTGAACACTACCCACGCCATCGTCACACGAAGGGACGTCTATTGATGGTACATCTTTGATATGCGGGTAGTGCGCGGCAATGAGCGGGACACCCGCAAGGAGTAGGAGGTTGCCGAGCCGGTTCATGGTGAGAGATGATACCGTTTGAAGTATGGGCAGTTGAAAGTGCTTGACGAGCTACGAGTACGTAGCCGAGTTCATCATAGAGGCGGCAATCCAGCTACCTATATAAGCGGTAGGACCAACATCTTATTCATATTAATAGCATGTGGCATCGTACACGAGGACGAGGATACAAGGTTGCAGCGCTTACCAGGATTCAGCTTCCCGAAGTAGCATCAGATAAATGGAACCATGAGGGATGCCTGCGTCGACCCAATTTCAACCGCTCTACGGCATGCCTGCATATGGCATACAGCATCCTGCATACGAGTAGATGTTTGTACTCGTACTAGAATGCATATTTGTTAAATTGTCAGAATGGTGTACACTCTATTCTTCCCGTAGTATGTATTGTTACCCGGTCTCTTTAGGCAAAGTTATTTTCGGATCTCACTCTCCATCACTGCCGACAGCATTTGTTTCCATGCGCAATTGTGACTTGCCTGCCGCGTCTTAAAACGTGGTTCCAAAAGGAAGAGGACAAAGCCATCCGGCAGGATGGAAGCTTGCGCCCAATCTTGGACGAGCTAAGCATAACCTAAGCGGGTCTTGGCAATCGGACAACCTCGCTATTGGGCCTTTCTTTGAAATCCCAGAACATAGAAACCCCTGGGCCAGCGACCCCGACCCGACCTAGTGGCGTGGGGAAATGAAAAACAAAGTGTAACGTTTGATTCTGGCACGTCTGGGTCGCTGTCTGGGATGAATGAGATTGAGGCTGAAGGGGGCTTGTCCATAATCACTATTCAAAGGTTAGACTAGTCTAGGTTAGGTGTATAAGTTAGGCTAGGTAGGCGCGTTCCTTCAATTTGTTTCCAACTTCCTGAATTATCAGTTTCATTCATCAGGATAGGGATTAATGTCGGCACTCACTCCTAGGAATGGCAAGTGGAAGAGATGGAAAACCAGGCGGCCTTTTTATTTCTTTTTCAAAGATTCGGGGTTTTGTTTAGTTTTTGCTGTTTCGGCCCCGAAGGCTTTGCTAGAGGACAGGTACGCGTCTTCTGCGACACCTCGCATTTTATGTGAACCATCGTGGAACACACGTGTTTACCCCGGCACCGGTTTCGGCACGGAATGGGATACGGAATCACTTTACCTGTAACGGCATCACTATACCTATTTGTTTGTCCGATAAGTAACCTACACGCCACGTTTTTTTTCTAGAGTGCATCTTAGCTAGACTACAAATAGGTAGTAATTGGTGACCGGATGAGCCGCGGTGTGATTACTTAGCAAGGTGAAGCTCTTAGTGTGAACCCACATGCCGAATGCAACTACCAGATCGTAGGAGAGGTGTGCAAGTTGCACCAACAAACATAGACTCACGTGAGGGGTATCGGAACGGTTTTTATGGGCAATACCTATATAATTGTTGGGCCTATAGCTCATATCAAGCTGTAGACAGAGAGAAAAAGATACCTTTAACGCGCACCTCAGGTTATAACTCGAACGGTGAGTTGGAAAAAGCTCAACGGATTTTAGTCAGTCGCCAAGCTACACACGGCTGACACCAGTTGCGGGGCCGGTAGATCTTCCCCATCAAACCCAAGCATCCCACCTGCCCATCTGCCCACCCCCTAGACGGAAACGGAAGCGAGATAGGTGAATGAAACAGCTGCCCGTAGATAATGAATGGGAAGATACCTTTAAATACAGACCCTGGACTAGAGCCAAATCTTCAGCGCTGATAGTCCTTGTCTCGTCTTACTCCTGCCTAATTAAGATGTCTT